AATTCCATAAACTATAAGTATGACTAAAACCCAAAAATCCCTAAAAAATCCAAAAATCCGCTAATTTTTGGTTAATTTTTGTCTTTTTTCGTTATTTTCTATTAATTAACGGAAAATTAACGGAAATTAACCTCTGTCCGCTATTAACGGATCCGGGTGGCCACCTCGTTTGGCAGTACATTATCAACCAAGTGGATATATTCTGGCTCCAGTAGAATCCTCCAGGCCGCACACAATCATTGTGTCCAAGCATTATGCTTGAACCTGGCATAAGGGCCTCAAGAGCCTAGACCTTTGGTAGTCATCGATTGGAGGCAAAACAAAACCATATGTTGCTCACCAACAAGCAAATCCGCTGGAAAGTCATCCCAGGGCATTGGTAAGGAAAGAAACTGAGCGGCAGCCAAGTGAACAGCATGCATTTTATGAATATTAATATCCCAATCACGGAAGCCCTGAGCAAGAAACAAAGCTCCCCAACACATAGACTTGTGTCCAGAACGAGGGTGATAATCAATGGCAAAGTGGTAGGTTGCAAAGATTGCCCTGCGAAGCGAGGAAGATTTATACATGCCAAAAGACCCAAACGGGTTTAGGGCGGTTAACAAGAGCCTGTCCCACCAAGATCTCTTTCCACATAACAGAGAATAAAAGCTCATTAGAAAAATAAGCTAAAGGAAAGGCCAACTAAAGTGAGCGACAAAATTGAGCCAACTCCCATACCACCCCAACACCTGTTGAATGTTATCGGCGAGCCTTGGCAACAATGGCTGCAAATTTTATGGGAGGCACCAAAAATTGGCATTGATTGGTGTCAGTAACCACCTCAAGGTGCTTTTGCATTGCGCTGGATAGCACAGATATTTATTGTGTTTGAATTAGTTGCCGAGAGACTCCAAAACGCATCATACAAGGTTGGGCTATGTCTTCAATCAATTCGCATTTAGCATAAAAGCAATTAAAATTATCTAAATATGCCAAAATTAATACGGGTACCTCCCATGAATACTTGAAGGAGTATTGCAAAGTAGAAATGTCCCCCTCTAGATAACGAAATTAAAACCAATAACCAGCCCACTCATATGAGCTTGGGGTCCTTAAAAAAAAACAATTGAGTGAAATAAAATGGTGAAAGGGAAAGACCAAATGGTAGAGGTTTACAAGCGAATGTTTCACCACCCATGCAGAATTGCAAGAAATGATCCTCATCTGATCGCATCCTAATGTGATGATAAGCATTCTCGATGTCGAACCCCATCAGAAAGTCATATTTTTCAAAAGAAAACTAAAATCTCTTAGGCGTTCATATCCCAAACCGACCTTCTTGATGTGGCAATTGATTTGGTGAATGTCGATGACCAAGCGGTACTTGGTCTTCCCATTCTCCAAACTTGGCAAGCAGAAAGGCCCACAATTTGTGTGGCAAAAGAAGGTTGTACCTGCATGATCGCCCCCCTCGAGAGTTACTTATCTTGCAATTCCTCCAAGCGCTCCACTCTGTGGGTGCCTTCAACAACAAGTACTTGCCTTGATCGAAAGGGATTGATAAGCCCTTTTGGCCCCATTGGAGGGGGGGCCCTATATAGATTCACCGAAGGACTTAGGACGGGGCGTCGATCTATCTCCACACAACAATGCACCCCTAGAGATGGTCGTAGGGATGTTCCTCTAGGCGGACATCTTGGGAGCCTGCGGGTGGTGGTGGTGGTGGTGGTGGTGGTGGTGGTGTGTGTGGGTGGGTGGGTGGGGGTAGGGGGCACTCTGGAATTGGCCCTAAAATGCCTTGTGCCAAAAGTCGAGGGACCATTGGCCATTGGGGCGGTAGGCGGGCGATTGATCTGGGCTTGTTGATGTGCCATGGTGGACTTGGTCGCCAACTTTAGCTATTGATTGAGGACCTCATTATGGATGTACTCGAGTGGGTCGTCGATGAGTGGGTCCCAGAATCATCAATACATGGTGCCTAGATGGATGTTGGTTTGGAGCCCCTTCTGCAACCCATCAAGGGATGTTTCCTTCTACTCCCCACGGACCTACTAGAATTGGATAAGGCTCTGAAGGCCGTGGACATACAGTAGAAGGGGGTCCCAAAATTGGGTTGGAAAATTGGCGTGTGCCACAAAGTCGATCAAGGCGGAGGTCAGGTCGAACTATTGCACAACGTAGGGCGCCTAGTTCTAGTAATCTCGAAAGTTGCAAAGTTGGTCCCAAGTGCCTACGCAAGTTGCCCACCTTAGGAGATCTAGCAAACATCGAGCCACTCAGGAAACCCTACCCCTAGCGGCCGGACAACCTGGTTGGCAACCGTCTGCAGTAATAACTAGGGGTCGGGCAACTAGACAGCGTCCAAGGGCGTTGTAGTTGGACTGTTGTTGAACCAAACCGCTTGGTCGTGCAACCATTGCTCAGCTGGAGTGTAGTTCATAGAAAGAGCTCGGCCAAGGGCCAGGGAGGGCAAGGCACTTTGTGCCTTTGGGTTGTGCCAACGAAGTGGTGCGAAGCAAAACAAGATAAGGAGGGGGACCGAGGAGGGAACCTAAATAGCTGCCTCCGCTCAGCCCCGCCAGAGCCCGCCAAACCTGAGGGTGCCAAGATTGGCAACACCTCATATTTTCATACTTTGATTGACCCATAGTATTCGGGTGGCCAGAAATCTCAAGGGAGGGGGTTTGAGTAAACCCCGGGTTCAAAAACTGCGCCACATGAATCATCGGCATAGCCCACCCACTGTCGCCCTTGGCAGAAACCTATTAACAAAATAGTTAATTCCATTTTTGTTGGTGTAGGCTGAATGTTGCAAAGTCAAGTTCGATCTTTTTATCTATGGGTCATCCCAATGCGCAACTTGTGCATGGCATACAAGAAAAACTGACCTGCCATATCAAGGGCATGGAATAATGGACTTATGCTGACACTAACACCGAGTGCTGGCAACCATTAGCCGTGAGCATCACCATTAGCGTATTGTGGATGCATGCATCGTGCACTAGCTTTGCCACCTTATTTCCATGTTTGTCAATTTACCATGCAACTATGAACCTGATTGCTGCATGGTCGCCGCCTGAGACAACATTCGCTATCAGCATCGCTTACTCTGTGCTCTTGAATCACAGATCAGGTGCTGATTTTATGGTATGATCGCAAAGAATGCCGCCCTGCAGGGAGTTTACATGCAACGCATACAACACATGCAATTCATTCTGGGTTTGGTTGCTAAATGTGCAAGCATGACAACAAAAATGAAGTCCTTGAAGGTTGTAAAAAAGGTGAACGCTGTGTGCTCATTTGGCCCTTTGCTTGTAGTGTGGCGATGATGGGAAACAAAACTACACCCCATGCACCTGTTGACAAAGCAACTATAGCCTTGACTGAGCAAGGGGAGGCTGACTGCCTCAGAGCGACACCAAGTATGACGCCTTGAGGGCTGGCGATGTGCCGGGTGGTTGGTGTGCTAATGTGGACATTTCCTTCAGTGAGCCATAGTTGTGGATGTTGCAGGAGACTTCATGGTGTTGAGGCGTGCGCAAAGCGAACCGCCTCAGCAGCAGGAGGCGGACAAGGGATCTCAACTGCCATGGCTTGGCTTTCAATTCCAAATTACACTGGTAGAACAGAGGAGCTCCCCCATGGATCGCGAAGCACAATGGGACCCTTTTCCAGCAAGAACCGACAGTCGCAAAACGTTATTTATCAAAATGTCCCAATATATCCTGTGTTTGTTGCCCTGCCTGACTACCAGCATCGATCATGACTCCGTTAATCTGTACAAAATTCTCTCTCAATGACGAGTACATGCCTGTCGAACAGCCATTAAAAATCGGGCCAACGTCGTCCCCATCACTATCATGACTTTTTGTGTGTGCTTTTTATGTGTGCTACCTTTCAATGGTGCACAATAGCGGTGACAAGATATGGGGTACCTTGGGTGTCATGCCTCTGCACGTGTTTTGCCTCCAAAAGGGCCTTCATTTCTATTTTGATTCCCACATGCCTCTCCATTCTTTGCTCCCAAAGTGCCTCTGCTTTTTTAATAACAGATTCCCTCTACGATGTCCATCCACCAGTCTGTGCTGCACTGAGCTGGAGCGCGACTGTGGTATCGACAGTGCGACGGCAAGCATGGACAGCGATGGCAGTGTCACGCACGTGGACGATGTGGCAATAGGAAAGATGCGGCTGGATTGGAAGTTGGCACGGCGGGGGAGACATTAAGGATGGAGACCGCAAAGGCATCGCACATCGGCGGTGATATTCGGATGAGCAGTGAAATTATAGTTGCACAGTGTACTTACACAAGAACAGCGGAAACATGTGCATTGGCACCGAGCGGGACACTCCAATCCCATCTGTTCAATCTGTGGACTGCAGAGGTACTTTTGTAGATACAGTTGCAGCTACAATGAACGAGATCCCCTGAAAAAGTGCACCCCAATGTTGTCGAAATGATGTACAAATGATGTCGATGTTTCGTGGTTCAAGCGTTGTTATGAGTTCTCCCCTCTTGCCAAAAAGGTGCCGCTCGACAGGCAATGCCGCTAGGCCAAGAGCGCTGACAAATTCTATCGCTGCCCCCTCCAGCGACGCAAGTTCCAGCGTCGGCAGACCGCCACTATTTCCAGCTCCTGGCTTGGCAGCCGTGAACCGAACCGGCTGCCGAACCCCACGAGGCGCTGGTCCTTCGGCTCGCGGTCATATTCTGCATGTTGAGAAAATCTCGATGCAGCATTGGTCATGCGCTCTCTTCTCGGCGCATCCTCCCGGCGAAACACCCGTCCACCTGTGGTGGGTGGCATTTGCGATTGACATGAATTCCATTCAAAATGCTCATTTCACGAAATCTTCCTGATCCTCATCCTCACTCTTGATTGCCACCCTTATCCAGTTGCTGATTCCTCTTCTTAAATTACGTTCCTAATCTCCTCCCTGCTTCTCATATTGATCCATCTAAGCTAAAGGCCAACCCCACCTTGAGTGGGACGAGGATGACAGGAGAAATGCGCCTACGCCACATGGAATTCTGTCTGCAGCTGACCCCTCCGAGTCAGGATCATCCGTATGCCCTGAGTGCCTACGGTCTGCAGCGTCAAGTGGGTGCTCTCGCGCCTCGTGATGCCCTCCACCCCGCCCATCTGCAACGGCAAAGCCACTGAGCGTCAGGCCCATGATGGACCCGAAGACTGCGTTGATCTCGTGAAATGAGCCAATCGCTGCCATGAAGTAAGAGATAGCAATACGTAACTAACGTAATTAATGGCACACTTAAAAAGCGCAGTTTGAGCTTTGTGCAGGGTTCGCTCGCGACAGCTCAAATCTCAGCTGTTAAAACTCAGATAGGCATACACGACGTTGCATGTTCAGGAAGATTCGTGTCATCATATCAAAATCTTCGACACTCAACGGGGGTCTAGCGTGGATCCAAACAAAGTACGTCCCATGCCTGTACCGCACATTTCGCGGACTGCTGCACTGAATTGAAACGCTGCACCTTATCGATACGGACCCTTCAACATATACCAAAGCTTTGGTAGTGTACGGAGCTGCGGGAACAGCATAGCTTCATATAGTACAGCTTGTTTCCTGCGCCAGTAACGCACCTCTGGAGCCAGCCTAAACTGGAAGCTCCCGAGCAGCTTGGCCAGCACGGTGACGACTTCCATCTTTGCCAGCGACTGCCCGACGCAGTTCCGTGGGCCGTGGTTGAATGGCATGAACGTTATGCCCGCGGCCCCATCATTGCGCTTGCTGTTGTAAGTGTACGTCTCCGTGGGCACGTCGTGCCACCTCTCGGGCATGAACTGCCCGGCGTTGCTCCAGTTGTGCTTGGTGTTGTGCAGGGCGTATAGCGGCACGGCGGTGAGGACGCCGGCGGGGATGGTATACGGCCCCACACACGTGGGCTTCCCCGTGATCCTGAGCAGCGAAAGATGCCAATGCTTGAAACGGATGAATCGAGCTTGCACGAGACAATGGTGCTGGTTTTCCAGCACGCTAGCGTCCAATAAATGCATGTTGTGAACTCTCACGGATAAACTGTACATCTTCTGTCCCCGAATCGGTTGTGATCTATGGCCTTGTTGCATTGCTTCTACATCACAGACGCTTCGGTGTTCAGCACAAACGGCTTCAGCGGCACTTCGTTGGTTATTCTGGCAATGGGGCACATTGCGCAAGCGCTTTTCCATAGGATGCTGCGAACGCTTGCCCAATCATCTGATACTTCGAAGGTGAACAGACTCTAGCTAAGGCAGGTTGTCAATTTTGTGACCTGTCTCCCTCCGAAGTAGGGACACGGATCCCAATATCATTGGGCCCCACAGGAGAGGGGGTTCGCGCGTTTTTTGCTCACATAAATTGGCAACTGCACGCCATTCAACCGGGCGTGTTATTCAGTTTTCAGCTGTCGAAACAAGTGTCCACGGGCAATGAGTAAACTCACCTTGCATTGGCAACTGACACCACAGGATACATGCGCATTGCCTCCTTGATGCAACACGCCAGGTACGTCAACTTGTTCAGGTCCTGGAATTCAAGCTCCCTAGCTGTCTGGCCTGGATTGGACAGCAGCCCTGCCGCATCCAACTCCTCAGCGACTCGCTCCTGGGCTCCTGCAACAATTAAACAGGGTAAGAAGCCAGAAACACGCACAATTGCATGTGATTTGATTCCACAATTCACACGGCCTAAATTTCGAATACACCATATGACTTCAATCCATGCAGTCTCAGCATGTTTCCCAACTATGTGAAACAAGGCAATGCTTTCCCAGCGAGAGCGACATCAATGCAGGAAGAATACAACACAAGGGAATAAGAAAATGCAAAAAAAGCAACACGAGTTCTACATGAACAAGTACGAAACACAATGGTGAAAATGATGTTTGATTCGAAGGCAGACGCAAATGATGTTGTGAGAAACAGCCTGACATAAAAGGGCTAGAAAAGTAGCAGAAAGCGTGCACTTGCACACACGAACATGCCTGATGCATCCAGCTCCCATTACACGTCACTCGTCCCAGCCTCTGGGTGAACCTACCTGGGTTCGTGGCAAGGCAGAAGAGCGTCCAGCTGATGGTGTGGCCCGTGGTCTCGAAGCCCTCGACGAACAGGATGCCGATCTCTGACAGGATGCGCTCCGTGCTGACGCCTCCCTCCTTCTCAAGGCGCAGCAGCTGCGCCCCGATGGAGAAGTCGTCCTCTGCCGGCGGGCCCCGAGCCTTCATTTCTTCCAGGAGCCTCGTCATTTCCGCCTGAAAGCGGTCGAAACTCTTCTTCCCTGGCGCGCAAGACCCAGTTCGTTGAGGCTCTGTCGACGTCGGAAAACAAGTACAGACAAAAGGCAACCCCCACCCACCCCCAATAAAGAGAGGTGGTTCCTCAAAACGGAGGTGGGCGAGCGGGGCTCGACTCACACCCCGCGCTGGGGGGCGTGGGTCGACAGGTGTGGTGCAGCAAACAAGTTGGCGATCATCTGGCCGCGTTCTAGCGACATTTTCAAGTGCGGGGACCAGTCAATATGCATACATTACCACATACACAGTGTTTGGTGGATTCGAATTACACATACCTGCTGTCAACAAAACCAGAAGCCGTAGGAACCTTAAACGGCCATCCGGTTTTGCTTCTCAATTCTTTCTTCGAAAATCATGAAACTTAGAAATTTATAACCTTCACGACCACGTCTGCATCGTATCAAATTTCTGCGGATCTTATATAGGCAGTGCACAATGCAATTCGAATAAACAAAGTCGTAAATGGCAACCTCGGAGTCTAAACGGCAGTATCCGTAATCCCAAAGTCCAGCTTCAGTTGGTCTCTTTTGGCCATTTATAATCGATGGCAGCCTACTCAGGCAAACTTGCTGCTGACCATTCATTGAGCAACAGCAAAAAGGACTGTGGCAAATTCTGCCAATTAATGCGAGCGGACAATACACAGTACTCGTCACTGGATGCGAGATGCCTCAGCCACAGGAAGCTGATACCAGACGGAGTTGGTGTTCCAAGAATACCCAACAATATCGGCGACTGCTTCAATGCATACCCTTGTCTCCATTCCTGAAGAGCATCCTCGGAAGTGCCTTAACCGCCCTGAATGGATTCATCATACGCAGCTCCACCTCCGTGAAACACCGAGGCAACACTCGCAGGAGGTGGTCCCTATTGGGAACGCCTTGCTTCACGCACTCAAAATCGTGCCCAAATGCCGCCTGTTGCATTGCAGCACAGAGCGAATTCAGCGCTATGTATAGATATGTATACATCCTATCAAAAGGGGGCAGGCTGAATATCTTGGGACAATCCACTTGTCTGCATTCGACAAACATTGCATGTGGCTTACAGCTACAAAACAAAGAAGAGAGCTTGAGTCCAAGAACGTCCAGAGCTTTTGTGAAGAGCTCTAATTGACCGATCGCACGTTTGGCACTGGGAGAAAATACGCAAATCTCAACGTCGAACACAGTTCTGAGCTGCTGTAAATGGTGCATTGGCCAGGGCGCTCCGCTGACAGGAAGATACAGTCTCACATATCGTGGTTTAGGCCCTATTTCGCCGCAAATCGAGGATTGAAGCTTCCTTGCATTTTCAGAATTTGGAAATGCCCAAATTCACCGCTGAACTATGCCACATGTGCAATTGCTGCCGGCGCCACGCGATCACTCACCAGGCCGATGACGTCCAGCGTAACCCTCAGGGCCGCCCTGTCCATATCGATTGACTGGCCAGTCTCGGCGCCTTCCCCCAATTTCTTCACCATGTCGTTAACCCTTTCCAACACTATGCCAAACTTGGGCCTTATGTGTCGCATGCTGAACGACACGGCCACGGCCTTCCGCACCTTCTTCCACTTTTCGTCGGAGGCCGACGTCAGCAAGTTTGGGTGCCCTTGTGCGCTGACCATCTGCCACAGAAATTCAAAAAGCTTCAAAGGGGATGGACAGCAATTATTCTCCCAGAGTAGCCCAAAGCACACACTAATCCCCCACAGGGGCCCCTGTAAAACAAGAAAACGGTAGAAAGCTTCGAAGCACCGGAGAACTCTCAACGGATTTTGGAGCCATGCATTGGATGGAACATGCCCAGCATCACCACTGTTTGGGACACGCAATCGTGATGAACATACATCGGTATGTCTCCGAATCTTAATAAATTGCATCACACAATCCTATCAGTATCTACTGGCAATGCACCGGTCCCCAATCTGCGCGTTGCGCTGTTTCCGCCTGTCGTGTGGCTGCAGCGGCCCGCCGCGTCCCATCCCAATGGATTCCATTCCCGACGTATTCCTTTTGAGGATTTCGACCTGCCCTGTTTGCGCCCGTCGCGTGGCCGTATGTCCTGCCGTGCCCCATCCCAACGAATCGCCATTCGAAAATTTCCGCCCGACGGACTCCTTCGTTTTCGACCCGAATGCCACAAACCCGGGACCCTGTGACCCCGGGAGTCGCACCAACCGCGGCAATGCGAATCTGCACGCATCAGACCCTCCACCATGCCGCCAACGCCTCTGCGCCAGCGCTCCGGCGAATGCACCGGAACCACCCCCGCCCACAACGCCCCCGCCCCTTCGGCCTAGAGATTTCCGGCCACGTGCGCCAGCGGCCCATGCGCGTGTGACCGACCTGACTGACGTGGCCGTACGCCGCCTGCGACTTGTCCAGCGAGCGGTCCCCGCGCCCCATGATGTCCGCCACGGCCTGGGGCTCCGTGACGATCAGGACATCCTCGAAGGGCATCTTCAGCCTGGGGGCACACGCGGTCCGCTTTTGACCAGAGAATGAGGCGCGGCGCCAATTGAGGTGGGAGGAACGAGCGGCGGTAGTGCCCTTCCCGAAGTGTTCACGGTGGTGTCGGTCGCGGCGGTGGAAGCATGTGAAATCGAGCAGAGCGCTGCGGCGGTACCGCCAAGCAAAACCGGAGGGATGGGACAAGCAACTCGGCGCGGTGGCGCCCGATGCGGGGGGCAGCGCTTGGAAAGCCGGGAGGGCGGCCGTGCCTGTAGATGCCTCCGAACTCGTTCGCCCACGTCACCAGCTGGCGGTGGTGGTCGGGCGTGATGAGGTCGAGCAGGTTGCCCACCAGGGGCAGCGCCTTCCGCCACGGCCCCGGCACTTTGGCCATATCCAGCCTGCTCTCCCTACAACACCACACGCCGCAAGCAAATCAGGGGCCTGATCCCTCAACAGCCTCCCACCAGAAGAAGGGGGGGGAGGGGGGAGGGAAAATTGGGGCGCGGTTCCGTGGGCGTGTCAGCACGCGCCCTGCCGGCTCTCTCCGTAGCGGCATCCGTCGGGTCGGACGCAATCCTCCACTCTGGACACCGCATCGCCATGCATCCGCATGCCAACCGCGGCATGGGCCATGGGCCACATCGCATTCCCATGCCACGATTCGCACCTGGTCAGCAGGTACACCGCGATGGCGGCCACCAGCAGGAATCCCGCGACGGCGGGCGAGTCCCATCCCAGCTGCGGCGCGCCCCGGAGGGCTTCTGAAAGGCCCCAGGGCGCCATGCGGCCCGGGTGCGCAGGCGACGGCCTGCGGGGGAGGTGCCGATTGGCTTCCCAGACGCGTGTGGGATCGTTTTGCGAACGGCTGTCGAGGGGTCACTTGGAAATTTTGGTGCGCGGGTGCGCCGTGGGGTAGTTATAGCAGGCTGGTGGACCTCAGTTTCGGGCGCCCTCAGTTTCATCCCCCCTTCAGCCCGGGGTGAGGAAGTGGCGCCTGAGGTTCGAAGCGCAGCCCGGGTTCATACCGTGTTTCTGACCTCATGGTCGCGATTGGGGCCTGTCAGGTATGACGGGCGGTTTGAGATGCGAAAAGTGTGTCGGGAACCTTCGAGCGCGATGTTGCTTGGCTGTGGTTCCATCAGCGTCAGGCTCGGTGAAAATTGGCGAGTCACATTGCGCCGCGGGGTTTGGGGGGCGTTATGTAAGGGGACCTCAGCCTCTGCCCCCCAGCCACCTCGTGGACAAGAGGGCGAGATCGCCCGGGGGGTTACGTGCGCCACAGGCTGCCCATGGCACCGCTGCGAGGGAATCCCCATGGGGACACCCCGTGAGAGCCACGCAGCTCGCACGTAAGCAGTGCCCCTACTTTAACCCCATGACGTGTTGCGGGAAGGGGGCAACCTCCAACATCAAAATCGAGTGAACACGTCATTGGGTTCTGGGTTGCCATGACGTTGCGTATGGATGCACACACAACACGCATCGCGATGCATGTGCGCGTGATGCACCTCCATCACGCCTATGGGCAAATTACCTTCAGCACCATAGCGCTGCTTTCTAATTTCTGACAGGACCACATGAACTACGTCATGTAGTGGATTGCAAAACCTTCAGCCTCGACGGAGTCGAGGCTTGCAAACGGAAATCTGCGCCATTTCCCAAATAAAACCACAATATCGAGGAGCGCGAGGGTCTCCAGCTCAGCACTCATTTTGGAGCGCAGTCTTGCAATTCAATGTTCGCTGTTACGCCTTCGACACTCAGCAGTGCCATGGAATGCACATGTGGCACAATGCGATCTGATGGCGCTTCCCTACGCAAAGCATTGCAATAACTGCGGCACGCTAAAGTTTTAACGCATTGATCAATGACATGCCATCACCAGGGCCGATTCTTTCAGAGCCGAAACCTCATTAGGATCCGGCGTGTGATATTGAGAGCAGCAACACTGCACACTGTGTGCAACGACAAACTTCCATGTGAGCACACGTGGCTGTGGTTTTCAGACTTAAGCAACTTGCTGCCCTCACACCTACTGGGTGATTTCGAACATAAGGGCCTTCCAATTCGCCATGTTTCTAGACAATATGCGTCATTCCCAACAACATACTACCTCCATTCCAAAAGCCGTGCCCCATCTGAAATTCTCGCTATAGCCAATTTGTCACCATTTTTGGAGCGCTTGGTAGGTTTTGGGTTGAGATGGGTCCTGGTTATATTAGCCATCACCATAAACACGATATTCATAGGCTTGTCAAAAATGCTCCTATCCCGTTCTATCCCGCTCCTCAGTTTCCCAACTTGTTGCATTGGCCTTATTCAAAGATGTCCCAACCCTTCTTCCCCCAAATTCATAGAGAACTATGTTGTAGACAACAAATGGGCAGCACTAAGCTCTTTCAAGAATCTTTATGTCAACACTACCGTGCATTTCGCTCACTGTTTCTTGTAGAATACGAAATCGTGTTTCCAAAATTCTGGTTTTCAACATATGGCCGGTTGTGCCTCAATCTATGTACTATTTTGGTATGTATGATTTTCCTGACCTTGGAAAATCTGCGAGGTACATGTTCTTTCATAGATGGAGGTGTCTCTTGGGCATTGGTCACAACCTTTACATGGCTCTTGTTGACATTCCGAATTCTGTACTAAACTTGGATACTTTTCCTCATGGATTCTGTTTGGAATCAAGCCGCACCCTTAGTGCACACCAAAGCAACAAAACATGACGCTCTCTTAGAAATAGCTAAGGTCAATCCACATCTGCTTAATGGCAAGGCAAGTCCGCTATGACCTAGGTACCGACAAAATGCAAAATTGCGCTTCAGCTGCACTCAACATATCGCAAGAATGGCAGAATCGTGTGCCATGTTGGAGTAGTAATTGGATGGCTCTTGATATGGCGCATCGATGTTGTTTTGATCATTTTTTTCTGAGTCTGACATTTTGATCTCCGTTCGTGCGAATTGCAGATACGGCATGACCTTTGGAACAGAGGTAGTATTCCCCTTGCAGCTGCCTAAGTATGGTCGACTGCAATGCTCGCAAACCACATTAAGGCAAAAGCGCAGTTCAAATTTGAACTTTAAACGTGCTACTCTTAAAGTTTCTGTGCCCCAAAAAGACCTCCATCTGCCCCTCTTGCTTGCTGCAGTCATACGCGTTGACCTTACAACCGCAGGCCTGCATCTGAGGAAGTAGCTCTGCGCTTGGAGCAGAGCATGGCACTGGTGCCGGTCAATTAGGTCACCTCACACCGAGTTCTCAAGCCGCACGAGTGGGGAAACGTACGCCGACCTGGGACACATTGAATGTCCAATAACCTGTCTATATCATCCATCAAGAGCACGCTGTTTCCATTCCCTTTGCTTGGTTTTGCAATTGTTCATCCGGTGGATCTTGCACAAAATCGTCCCTGATGGCACTTCCGGCAGTTGCCACGCTCAGGGCGGCGTCCTGAGGCTCAGGAACTAAACAAAGAAGGCGCCCTGGATGGTTTCCACAATCAAGACAGCGTCCCAAGGCCAAAAAGAAGCGGAGGGGGGCGGGAGGGCAGCAATGAGGGCCCCATCAGGACGTCTTGATGGCGCCCTCTTTACTGCCAACAGGCTTGGTTTTTACGCGTAAAAACTGATCGTACTTGCGTTTTTACGCGTAAAAGCAGTTTTTACGTTTTTACGTGTAAAAATGCGAAAAAATACTTAAATACAACGTAAAACCTGCCCGTTGTACATGAGAACAGTACATACAGACTTACGGAGTCCGGAGAGTGGCATCCAGACGCTCTGGAAGGGGCATAAAACGAGATTTTGTTAAACATCGTCATCGCCCTTGCCAAGGGCGAGGTGGAAACTGTGTTGCGGGTCTGGATATGGCGGAGGCCTGATCATTGTGCGGAACTTTCATCGTGTAATCTAGGCGTCCAAGGGAGCCGCAAAAACGTAAAAATAGGGCCCTTTGCAAATTTACGTTTTTACACGTAAAAACGAAAAAGTGAAAACGTAAACGTGAACGTAAAAACCAAGCCTGACTGCCAATGCCCCCGTCCACGGTGTAGCCATGGCGCCGTCACAGACGCCGTTGTGGGTGATCACATCCATCGATGGTAACCACGACGCCTTCTTCACCAGCCCCGGGACGTACTACGCTTGGTTATTTTAAGTACGCAGCGAGACATGCAGATATTGTAAAATTTTACTGCACGCTCAATTCAATACATGTTCCAGAAACAAAATCTGTATGCCATTAATCTGGTGAATTCATGGCTGCGAACTGCGCCCTGTACGTCGTGGCAGTTTTAGAAGTGGGAGGGATTTAGATGCAATGGATAAGGGAGTGGCGATGCCGCTTTAAAGTCCCAAGTCGGTCGACGTCACTGGATTTTCCTGTCGCTGGGGGGTGGCGACGACACCGCCCCATGGTCCGTGGTGTCGGTGTGAGAACTGCAACCACTCCCAACGCCGACGACGGCCCCGACGACCCCCCCATGCCCACTTGCCACAAATCCGATCGAAACCGAGACTGCTGACATCCAGCCAGCCTTACAACACTTTTCTGCGACGCCACAGGAAATTGCGCCCCACCGCCCCCATTTTCGACGTCACCGGAGCTTGAGCCTTTTCTCCGATGCCGAAAGTTTCCCAACGGAGCGAAGCGCTCAAGGGTGTCACGGCCCAGCAGGTACGTGCTCGTGCCTCCGAGTTCCTGTCAAGGGCTGCCATGCATGCCAGTGTTGTCACCTTGCCATTACTGGTGATGTTGGGGTCGCTGTGTGCCGTAGGAATGTGTCAGATGCTGCGAGGTAGGGTATGTCGCGCGCTTGAAGCACCTGCGCCATTAAGGAAACTACCCAACACAGCTGCAATGGATGAAATGGGTTGGTGGGATGCTGACAGTGATAAATTGAAGCTAGATGTACTTAAGGTTGCAATGATCCATGATGCACTGTGATTCCGGCATATGCAGGCAGCGTGATACCCTTCAACCTGTCGATGGTAAGAATTTCATTTCTTTGATGACATAATCGCAGCTGCAAGTACCGTAGGCTAGGACACTATGGGTTGGTCGGAAACTGATACTGACTGATCAGTCTTCTATCAGGATAAGATTTACATTTGCACGTATTTTAGATAGTAATTTTCATGCTACACATTAGATATAGCTCAAGCGTGTGCAAGAGGCAGTCAATCAATTAATTACCGATAGATCAGATTGCCGATATCGGCAACCTGCTGCTCCTGAATGGATCAGTGATGGAAGGTTCTCTGATGGTATGCTATGTACCAAAAAATGATGGCACACAAATTTGTGTGCGATCATTCTTTGAATGTTTAAGGATCATTCTATGAACATTCATAAACATTTGTTTAAACATTCATACACTCAGCACGCTTGCACACAATCAGCGTTGCACATATTGTCCCCGCCAACATTTCTTTCCCGATTAAATTCTTGGGACACAACAAGTATTTCTCACAAATATTGACAGTTCATCGCTAAGTTACAAATCTTGCATCCGCTTTCATGCGTGGCCCATTCCCTGGTAGTTGGCAAAAGGGTGAAGCGGCGAGACACCCGTGCACCCAGCTTGCCCACAGTTGCCGTCCGTGTGGCAGCGGCAGTGATCATGGCGGTGGGACACCCAGGTGACTGCGCCACATGCCCTGTCCCCTCCATGCAGGTCTGTTATTTACGCAGTAAAATCTGATCGTATTTATGTTTTTACCCGTAAAAATGGTTTGTACATGTCCACATGTAAAAATACGTGAAAATACAATAATACA